CCAAAAAAAGTGCAGTATCCCCAACACCATGTTATGTCTCAACTTACTGTTGTCATTGCTGTCTTATGAGTCTAAATAATTTTGATTGTTATGCAATGCACTGCAAAAAAAATTTAAAAAAATTTAAAAACAAGGAAATACATGGATGTTCAGTATTGTTCTTCAGTGCATGTTCACTTCCCTTACTATTACATGTACTTATGTATTGTTAGAAAAATAGAACTGTGTTCATATTCCATTCAATTAGCGATTCTATTACCCTCCTTTTAACAAATAGTTTATTTGTTTCAAAAAAGTACTGCTCAGTGCTTATATTTATGTCAGATGCAAGATTGCATTTTTTTGTACAGATTGCTAGATATTTGTTTTTATTTGTAGGCTGCAACCACTTTCTCAATTATTTCACCTTTAAAAACATTAATTTCATGATCGGGACCTTATTCCATCACTGTATTGACTCTGGAGTCATATAATATTTTATTACATTGATTGTTTTTATTGTATTTATTAGAACATTAGTTTAGCTAATCGTCAACATATTACAGATATTTATACACATACAAACTTTTTACAGGATATACAAAGGTTGTAAGTGTATAATTTACTTGTTCATTTTTCATAACTCTAGAATGGATCGCAGAGCTACAAGCTACAATTATGCATCCTTAAAACAAAAGTATTTCTTCGGGGAAATAAAGTTTTAGAAGTGTTGATAAGCATGATCAAACTACAGTTTCATAATGATATAACACACCCCTATACCACATAAGTGTTGAGTATGATAATAGCAAAAGTACTTAACTTTGTATGGTATAGCTTCCCAAGAGGCCTTCCCCAGTAGCACCCATTTATAAGCAGACATATCTATATACAAATTTGGGATACAGTTTAGGCACTTGTTCATGACACCTCTTGCTGGAACCTCGTACTAAGCAAGAGGTGTCATGAACAAGTGACTAAGCTGTATCCCAAATTTGTATATACATATACTGTTTCATAATGAGCAGACTAGGCAGTACAGTTTGTTATTAATTTACTTTCACAATATGGTCTCAAGCTCAATAATTTCTCACTTAACATCATGTTGGCAAATGCTGATGTGTGGGCTCATTAATAAAGTCAGCTTGTGTGGCGAAATTAACCACGAAACTGACTTTTGGAGGAGCCTGTTTGCCAGCCTCCTGCCCTGTGACTATGGCCCCTATAATAGACTTTGGTTAAAGATACTGTTTGTGCATTTATTTTACTATGTATGGCTACACTATGAACTCCTGAAGCATTTCGAAGCGGCACTTCGAATTCCCGAAGAACCACACGACCAGAGACCACCCTGGAGCTTGTTAACACCTATTAACAACTTGGAACGTTTCTCACCGCAGTGTTCTAATTGTTCATCTGGGTGGCCGCAATTCCTATGGACAACCACGAGGTTCACATGAATGCAGGCAGCGGTGTTTGGACATGAATCTCATGGAACTAAAATCGGACACAGAAACTCCCAAACACTGCTGGACTTCCATAATCGCCTGTGTTCGGTTCTATACATGTTAGAAAGGCACTATTCGGTGGGATCATTTGTCTGGATGAAGGGAACAAGCTCCAGGGTAAGACTATTGACTCTGTTCGGTAGTTTGTTCATTTTCAAACTACCAAACTAGACCGACCGCAAACCCTGATTCTCTGGAACGGTTTTGGGCATGGGACCATGCCTGCGGTCAGTCAAATAAATGACTTCCATAGAATTCCTGAACCCCTGAACTGATCTGGGTGATTTTTGGATATGTTGGTCACCCAGACCAGGGCTATGAGGGGATGTGGGGACAATATGTATTTTTTGGGTTTTATAAAAAGAGATAATTGAGTTAATACAGTATCTGACTCAATTATCTCCCTGGCAGAAAGGGGGATTATGTGCTGTGTGTGTCATGCCTTGTAAACTTTTTGTTATTGGTTTGTAAATCAGTCCACCATAAGGTCCATGTGGGCGTACCCCTTGCATGGGGATTGTCATATAAGGCCAAGTGTGGCACCATTAAAATCAGTTCCTCTTCACCCTCAACATAGTGCCTCATCTCATTTGTGGAGGGGACAGCTATATTCACTCTGGGGATTGCTATACTCCTTACACTGGGCTCTAGTCACTAGCTCTTATAAGAGCTGTTTCTGCTATACTCTCTGGAGTAGGAGAGGTTCACCCACTGGAAACTGGATCCTGGTCTTGGGTCCAGGGTGGGTGGAGGACGGCGAGACCCCAGCCAAGCTGCAGCGGTTTGTGGGGTCTACGGTGCTTGTGGTGTCTGGTGGAGTGCTTGGAGTCCTCGGTGAGCACTAGGAGCATCGATTGACGGAGGTACCCAGTCAGAGTGTTAGGCAGTCCATCACAGCTCAATCACAATCACACATTTCTGTACCTTAAATAAAGTTCCATGCCACCCCCTATCACAACTTGATTTCAGGGAAATTGTTATGGGGGCTGAAATTCCTGCGCACCATCTTACCTTACAGGATTAAACTGTTCATTAACCAGTTTAATCCCCTAAAGTTGTCCCCTGGAGTCAATTTGCCAAATTGCCTCCTGTCTCCTCTATCTATCAACACTAATCCAGAAGCTTTGCTCTGGGCACCATTGATAGGCTGAAAGCATCATTTGACTGGCACACAAGGCAAATCTTCCAACAAAATCACTATTTGATTTGCTGTCAGCATTGAGATCTCTGCATATCAATTTCAAGATTGTGTGATTAACAATAAACATGAGTCACATAAACAAATACTTAGAGACAATAGACCTCCCAAAAATCACGACCCAACAGGCGACCGATCTCATTAGACCCATCACAGAGGAAGAACTCCATACCATCATAAAACAACTGCCGAAAGGCAAAGCCCCAGGCCCGGATGGGCTTGACAATACATACTACAAACAATTCCACCACATATTGACGCCCCACCTGGTGCGCACATTCACGGAGGCGACAGCCGCGCAGAAATTACCACAAGACACGCTATTGGCCCACATCATAACGTTACAGAAACCAGGGAAGCCTCCCACCATCCCTCAAAATTTTAGACCCATATACTAAGGAGAGGGTGGGGGGGGTTGGGGTGTCGGGCGGCCGGCACAGCTCACACACGCAGAGACCAGCTGAACTGGCCGCACTGAGGAAAGTGGGTGCGTAGCTACATGTTTGGATTGTGATCATGTTGGAAAGAAACATGCAATACCAGATGAAGGTCAGAAACCATTATCAAATGTAAAAAGCATGGTATTATAATCAGAGCCTATGTTTGTTTATATACATGCTTATATTGTATAATAGGTCTTGTAGTTTATCTGGGGTTCAACATTCCTAAAAGTAAGGGGATTATAATTTCATCTAAATGTGCAGACTTCTTTTTCAGTTGAGTCTTTTTTTTTTCCACTTTGATATATCAACCCTATGGACAAACGTATAAATGCTAATTAAAATCCCACAAGAAAACGTTTTACAAATGTATAGAATGAAGGGAAACCGGCCAATGAAACTGGAGAGGTTTTCAGTTCTGTTACCTCATAAAGCAGCAGGAAAAAAATGGCTCCAATCTTTAGCCAACGCCAAGATATATGTGCAGTTAAGGGTTCATTTTCAACAGAAAACTGCTAGCAAGATTTAAGTTTAGAGGTACATTTACATTATAATAAGGCTCTAAAGTATTGCATATGCCATTTTTGTGGTTCAACTAGTAATGAAGCTCATTATATTTTTTAATCATTTAAGCTTGCTAATAACTTCAGAGAGAAATTGGTTATCAAAATATTAAGTCACGTTTAATGCAACTATAATATTTATTCGGAACTAAGCAACCATCACTTGGAAAGTTTGTATGTTGTTAAATTTAGTGAGAAGAATATTTCATTTAAACTGAAAAATTGTGGGTTTTAAAAATTAAATAAATATAAGGGGAGGGAGGGTATGATCGTTTATTTTATTTGTGGAACAATTACATTCATATAGCAAAATCAATTTGAACTAGCAAGAAAATTATTTCTAGTGCCTTACACAAATTCAAACACTCATTCTCTAGATAAAAACTCTAATCAGACTTCTTCAGCATGTTGAGTACACTGGAAGGATAGACAAGTGCTATTTCTAATATTCTACTACTTATGTCCCGTCTCACTGAAGATTGTATTCATTAAATCGGGAATTGTAGAAATTTGACCAAGGAATTGAACATTTAAAAAGCCAAGCTAGAAAAATAACATATGTGTAAAGGCTAAATTAATAAAATCAACAACACTGCTGGTAAAGCAAAAATGAGAGTTGCACAGAAAGGTTTGCAAGGAAGCTAAATTTTTTTGCACTAACCATATATATATATATATATATATATATATGCCACAGTATCAGGGATCGTGCCAGGTACGGGATCAAAAACATACATCACTTCTCTTAACTCTGCTTTTTCCTCCTACCCTAAACAGCTTTATTTTACCATCATCTCTCCTCTACTCACCTGCAGTACACCCATCATCTGATTTCAGTGCCCAAGGCCTTGCAGATTACATCTTAAAAATAATTCTTACAATAAGATGCAACATCCTGACACAAACGTATAATATTCTGCCTACGCTTCTTCTTTGCTGTCTTCTTTACAGCTCACTACCTGCCTGCTCAACCCTATTCCAATCTTGACAACTGCGATTGATATGGTATAGCAAAACATGGGAACCCCCCCCAAAAAATGTGTGCTGTAGAGTAGCGCAATGCAAACCTTTCAATTAGCAGAGTGTAATGTTCTCTTTTTCTGGCAAATTCCTTTTATATCTGGTTTAATTGTTGACAATTGTATTCGCATGTCTGCAATTGTGCTAAGTCGATTTTGATACTTTGTTTTTGTTGCAGAGTATCCAGTTGTTCCACATAAGTACGTGCTGGCGAATGGCAACAGAACTTTGATGGCCGGCTTGGACAATTCTGGATACTCTTTGCGTAAATCACCCCAACATTTTTGGCTTAGTTGACTGTCAGAAGTTATATCGATTTAGATTCGCAAAATCTACATCAGAAAAATTGGCTGGCTTGTCTATTATAAATGGATTTCGAACCCAGCCATTATTGTTTTCATTCAAGAATGGAAACTACTGATCAATATATGTGATTAAATGGCGAAGATGATCTACAATTTTGTTGCGAATTTTATCTTCAAGTTCAATTTCTGACTCTTCAAGAAAATCCTTAAGTGTTGGCAAAGAGTTCAAATTATTTTGCCCAACATATGAGGTCCAAAACTGCAGCTTACAAGACAGCGAAAATATTTTATCTCTTGCATTAAAAATTTTAGTGTTTTTTTTTCCTTGGAGTGATAAACTTATGTCATTTAATTTTGTGAATATGTCTGCAAGATATGCTACTTTGGATAACCACAGAGAGTGTTTGTTAATTGATCAGATAATCCAAATTTATGATCCTGAAAATATGCAAACAACTCTTGACGCAATTGAAACATTCTAACAAGGACTTTACCTTGTGATATCCAACGGACTTCTGAATCCAAAAGCAGAGCAGAGTGGTGACTACCTATATCTTCACATATTATTTTAAATAGTTGTGACTGTAATGGTCGATTTTTTATAAAATTAATAATCTGGACTGATTTGACTAGCACACTTTTAAGTGAGATTTAAATATTTTTAGCTACTATTGCATGTCTGTAAAGAACACTGTGAGAACTGGTGCTGTTTTTTGCTGCATTTCTTATTTGTGTCACAGCGCCTGCCACTTTTTCAACCATGACATTTGCACCGTCGTTATTTGGCATTTGCTATAAGCTTTATTTTACCATCATCTCTCCTCTACTCACCTGCAGTACACCCATCATCTGATTTCAGTGCCCAAGGCCTTGCAGATTACATCTTAAAAATAATTCTTACAATAAGATGCAACATCCTGACACAAACGTATAATATTCTGCCTACTGTTCTTCTTTGCTGCCTTCTTTACAGCTCACTACCTGCCTGCTCAACCCTATTCCAATCTTGACAATTGCGATTGATATGGTATAGCAAAACATTGGAAACCCCCCCCAAAAAAAAATGTGTGCTGTAGAGAAGCGCAATGCAAACCTTTCAATTAAGAGTGTAATGTTCTCTTTTTCTGGCAAATTCCTTTTATATCTGGTTTAATTGTTGACAATTGTATTCGCATGTCTGCAATTGTGCTAAGTCGATTTCGATACTTTGTTTTTGTTGCAGAGTATCCAGTTGTTCCACATAAGTACGTGCTGGCAAATGGCAACAGAACTTTGATGGCCGGCTTGGACAATTCTGGATACTTTTTGCGTAAATCACCCCAAAAAGCAAGAAGATAAACTTTTTTTACATTTTTGGCTTAGTTGACTGTCAGAAGTTATATCGATTTAGATTCGCAAAATTGACATCAGAAAAATTGGCTGGCTTGTTTATTATAAATGGATTTCGAACCCAGCCATTATTGTTTTCATTCAAGAATGGAAACTACTGATCAATATATGTGATTAAATGGCGAAGATGATCTACAATTTTGTTGTGAATTCTTTCTTCAAGTTCAATTTCTGACTCTTCAAGAAAATCCTTAAGTGTTGGCAAAGAGTTCAAATTATTTTGCCCAACAGATGAGGTCCAAAACTGCAGCTTACAAGACAGTGAAAATATTTTATCTCTTGCATTAAAAATTTTAGTGTTTTTTTTCCTTGGAGTGATAAATTTATGTCATTTAATTTTGTGAATATGTCTGCAAGATATGCTACTTTGGATAACCACAGAGAGTGTTTGTTAATTGATCAGATAATCCAAATTTATGATCCTGAAAATATGCAAACAACTCTTGACGCAATTGAAACATTCTAACAAGGACTTTACCTTGTGATATCCAACGGACTTCTGAATCCAAAAGCAGAGCAGAGTGGTGACTACCCATATCTTCACATATTATTTTAAATAGTTGTGACTGTAATGGTCGATTTTTTATAAAATTAATAATCTGGACTGATTTGACTAGCACACTTTTAAGTGAGATTTAAATATTTTTAGCTACTAGTGCATGTCTGTAAAGAACACTGTGAGAACTGGTGCTGTTTTTTTGCTACATTTCTTATTTGTGTCACAGCGCCTGCCATTTTTTCAACCATGACATTTGCACCGTCGTTATTCGGCATTTGCTATAAACTTTAACTTTAAATAACACATGGACACGTTTAATACTGTTGGAGTATAACGTCCACAGCTTTATTAATATGAATAAATTAACATATTTAGGGTCATTGTCAAAATGACATTATTTACTATCCCCCCGCACAATCCCCTGACAATGACCCTACCACATGAACAATAATTAACATCAATTACCAGTAATCTTGCAAACACCCGGCCTACCAACGAGGCCCCATATCATAATGATAACTGTAGGGGTGTACCCAGACACCCCTACACCCCCAGGTTCGTCGCCACCGAAGAGCTAGAACCTACCAACACATGACACCGTCTGGCCTACTCCAGCCTAGACCCTGGCCTGTACAGTTCTAATTCCCTGATAACTTCCAACTTAACCACGCCCTGTTCCGCCACAGCACTTGTCTTGACCCCCTTAAGACCATTGTTACGGGCAAATGCAAATATTACAAGTTTTAGAATGAAATGTTGTATTTCTTAAAATGTGTACTTTGTCTTTAAGAGATATTGCAAACTGACAAGGTGTTAGAAATGGAACATATTGTTTTTCATAACTGTTTCTTTAAGCAATAACGTCAGTGCATAATATGTTTGCGCCATTTTGTCCCAGACAAATTACAATAACAATAATGCATAAACAAGCTTCAAGGCTATACTACGACACTTGCAGTACACAATATACTGTGGTAACCCCAAGTTAATGGAACTTCCCCAAATCCGGGAATCTCCCACGACTGTACACTTACGACTTAGTATAAACAACAGATAACCTATTCAGACTTTAAGATGCCATCTTGAACTAAGTCAGGAAAATTTCCATGACGTATACACCCTTTAGTTATGGCCTTGTATGTTTGCCAAGTTAAGGGAGGTCCTAAATTGAATAAAGTAAAAGAAGTGTTACTTTTTCATATTTGAACTACGGTAACCTAAAATGGAGACACCTAAGGTATAAATAGGTGTACTTTTAAATGTTAAGACACAGAGGAGAGACTTGGAGACAGACGCTGCTCCATCTTAAAATGACAGAGAGGCTGACATGATGACATGTTCAGAAGGGTATGTTAACCTATTAATGATATTTGCAAGCATGTAATTTAAATCTTATAAACTCTGCTATAATGGATTTTATATTTTTATATAATAAATATCCAAAAGACAATCTTGCTTCCAAGACAATCCTTATTTTATATTGTATTCTCAATTATTTATATATGTTAAATAGAGGATCTCTTACACTATATAAAATTATGGCTAAGATATCTGTATGGTTAGCCCTACTAAGTTCTATGCTTTAAGACATTATAGTGGTAAATAAGGGAACCACACACGGTTACACCATGTGCGACCCCCACCACACTGAAACAGGGCTCGGGCTATGCCCTCCTGAAACCCCAAGTTCAGCAAGTCACACCCTACATCCGACAGATGCACTCCATCCCTCCTAAAGTAACCTGGCAACTTGCCCTCCAGTTCCCGGTGCCTCACCACTACTCCCCCCATCCGACTTACAAAAACTGCCATTGTCCTATTGACCTTACCCCTGCATCGTGCCACCGCAGCTGGATCCCTGGCGTGCCGCCATGTAAAACGAGGCACCATCTCAGACCACACCACCATCACGCCCGGGACCAGCTCCCGCAGCCGATCCATGTCCCTCTTCATTCTCCGCAACAATTCCCGTTGGGGAATCAGCCCTAAGTCGTTCCCCCTGCCATGCACCACCACCACATCCGGGACTGGACCACTTGCCACTTTCCTAAACAATACATTACTTAAGCTCTGCCAACTAAAACCTCTAAAACCAAACCAGGATAAGGCCGCCCGCTCCAGAGGAAAGCCCAGCTGTGTTCCTTGTTTCCGAACTGCAGCCCTCTTCTGTGCCCAATAAACGTACGAGTGGCCCATCAACCAAACTTTCCAACCTGAAAAGAGACAAAATTAGTTATACAGCAGTGCCACTGCCCATCTGTCCCGGTCTTTTGTCCCCTCCAAGTCCCACCATCCCGTCGGGCCTCACGTACGAGCGGAACCGCACGGATTCCTACCTCCCAATCCTCTTAATCCGCTCGTCCCCGAGGCCCAAGTGTGCCGCCTCCGTAGCCGCCCCAATACGGAACGAGTGCGACCCAAACTGCATGGGCTGCAGGCCCAGCCTCGCTAAACCTAAACGAAAAATCCAAATGAACTGAAACCGTGACAACGCCGTGCCGTCGGCGTGTAAGAAAAAACAACCGCCGACGTTTGGACGGATGTCTAAGTACTCTGCGCCGCAAGCCACCAGGCACATCCCTGACCCCGGCAACTTGAACAACACCACAGAGCAGCCTTTGCCGAAAACATCAGTTTTCGATCGGCCCAACCTAATCTGCACGCGATCGCTCCTTACCTCCACATCATCGCGCTGCAAGCCACCAACTCCTGCCTTGTTAGCGCTGACTAACTCACCAATACGAAATGCCCCGAAGAACGCCCAAACAAACGCTCCAGAAAACAGTACAACTTCAAATGGTGATGAACATAACCCAGGCAACGTTCCCACTAAACCTTGTAAGACCGCAAAAGACACCGGCCTCCTAATGTCCGTCGACTTCTTCCCCCTCCGAAAACCCCGTACCGCCTGTCGAACCAAGAAATGTTTCGTCAAATATTCCCACCCTTGGAATTTAAACCAAAAAGCCAAGGCGGACATATGCCTGTCTACCATGGCCGGTGAAGCCCTCTTCGCAAATAAACGGCACAGCAACCATAAAAAGACATCCAACCTATAGCCCGCCGAAAGGTCCCCACCTACCTCCTCTACTGTTTCCTCCCATTCCTTCCAAACCTTAGCATAAGATGACCACGTGCTCGGTGCCAATGATTTCCTTATATATTCCCCAAGCACGATGTCCCGAATCGCCACATCTCGTCTGGGCAGACCTGCCCGTGTTCCCGTGCTTCTGGCGCTGCTCCCCGAAAATGATCCCACTGAAAACGAGAGAGCGCATCAGCCACCACATTTGAGAATCCCGGAATGTGCCTAGCCCTGAATACGAAATTGAAAGACATGCAGAGGAGCACCAATTGCCTTAGTAAGCATAAGACCGGGAGCGAAGATGCCAACAAACTGTTGATTGCCTGCACCACAGCCATATTGTCCGAATAAAACACAACTCGCTTGTTCACTAACTCCGATCCCCACAATGCTACCGCAACCACAACAGGGAAGAGTTCCAAAAATGCCAGATTTTTGATCAATGGGCTCGCATTCCACGCTTCGGGCCATGCCACGGCACACCATTGTCCCGAAAAATATGCCCCGAGCCCGACGCTGCCAGAAGCGTCCGTAAACAGACCTATGGCTTCCGAAGACACCGCCTGGTCCCGCAAAAACGCCTTGCCATTGAAATCCCTCAGAAAACGATCCCACACCACTAAGTCCGCTCTCATGTCCGCGGAAACCCTGATGTAATGTGACGGCATCCGTATCCCACTCATTGCTCGCGCTAACCGTCTACAGAAACCCCTCCCCATGGGTATGACCCTGCACGCAAAGTTCAGGCTCCCCACCAGAAACTGCAACCCCCGTAGTGTCACTTTCTTCGCCCTCCCGATTGTGTACACTAAATCCTTCAATTTTTGTAATTTGTCCGACGGTAATCTACATTCTCCGATCTCTGAATCGATTTCTAAACCCAGAAAACTGAGGCACGTGGTGGGCCCCACGGTCTTGTCCTCAGCCAAAGGAACCCCCATAGTCTGCGCCACCCATTGGAACACCCCTAGTATCTGCTTGCACCGGTCTGAGCCGCGTGGGCCGACATAAGAAATCGTCCA